TACCAACAACGTCGCCGTTGTATTGCCTGCTGGGAGCGTGTATTTCTGATGACTTAGATAAAAGACCGGCACGTCGCACTTGGCTTTTGTGTCACCATCTAATTGGTTTCTTTCTTATAGCCTCAACCAGAAAACTTTAATTGCTCGCTGGGTTTGTACACTCTGTCTCAACACCTTGACCCTTCCCAGCGCTGTACCCAGGGTTATCCTGAGAAAACTGCTGTGATTCCCATTGACTCTGACCCAGGATGTAAATAAGAAATGCTGCTGTGCCTGATGGAGAGCATGGGTCTTGGGAAGGATGGGACTGGGGAGAGAGCCCAAAGAGCTGGCCAGGAGGTGGTCTCCAGCCTGCCTTGAGTCTTGCTTGAGGTCTTGTGGTGGGCACCAGAGGGGATGCTTCTCTCCAACATAAGGAGGACAACTGACCTGCTGGAGTGGGTCCAAAGGAGGGACACAAAGATGATCAAGGGGTTGTAGCACCTCTCCTATGAGGACAGGTTGAGAGAGTTGGGGTTGCTCAGCCTGGGGAAGAGACGGCTCTGGGGGAGACCCTATAGCAGCCTCTCAGTGCTTAAAGGGGGCTACAGGAAAGCTGGGAGGGGATGAGGGGTAAAAGGAGTTAGATTTAGATCAGATGTAAGGAAGCAATTCTTCACCCTAAGAGTGATGAGGCACTGGCACAGGTTGCTCAGAGAAGCTGTGGTAGCCCCTCCCTGGAGGTGTTCAAGGCCAGGCTGGACGGGGCTTTGGACAACTCGGTCTAGTGGGAGGTGTCCCTGTCCATGGCAGGGGGGGCTTGGAACGAGATGGGCTTTAAGGTCCCTTCCAACCCAAACCATTCTGTGATTCTATGATGACTCCTTGGAGCCCTACATCACCCCCATAGCCCAGGCACAGACATCCCAGCTCTTGGAAGGGGCCACTTTTCCTCTCCATTTCTGACACGGGTGACAGGCAGATGGGTTACTGCTGAGCTGCTTTACTCTTTTCCTCCCTGGCCATTCTGGTTGCAAGGTGAACCAAGTAACTCTTCAGGAGGAGTTACTTCAGTGCTGCACTTGTCCATTCTAATACAACTCAGCCCCTGTTCCTGTTACTCTCTCCCCTCTACATACAGGTTACACAGGTAACTAGTAATTTGATGCTTTTAGACCATGCACATGCTTTTCACCACTCTAGATTTTTCATAGTTCTCAAACAATCTGTTTCCACTCAACAAACTGAAAGGAAGACCTTCCAAGCTGTGACTGTGAGCAGAAAAAAGTCACACCATTGGGATAATCCCAAAGTTCTCTCATCCTGAGAAGCACCAGGAAGATGCAGGCACAGGGATAGCTCCAGTCTCTCCGATCTAACTCTGTAGACCTGCTACAAAGCCAGCCTTTGCTCCTACCAGCTGGCACATGTCCAAAATGATGCACAAAAATATGTGGCTCTGTCTGAATTTCACACGGCAGCGGCAGAGTGGGAGAGGAACGGGATGTCTGGACCCCTCAACATGCACCATGGGATTTTTTGCCATGTCCAAGCATGGCAACATCCTTTGACCAGGCTTGGAGGAGCACACAGTCCTGCGGTTTCAGAGCTCTCCTCCCAACCAGGGGCTCCCAGCTTCCCCTAACCCTGGCGCAGCACCCAGGTACCATCCCACCTGGTAAGTCAAGATGCCCCCAGTCTGCCCAGCTGCTATCTAATACTTAAGGAAATAATGCTCACGCTCTGTTGGGAGGTTCTTGAGCTCTGACCTTGATTGCCCTTTGTTTCTGTCAAACACATTCTGCCAAATCCCTTCTGAAATCTCATTTATTCACAGTAGCTCCTTAACCCAACAGGCACCCCACCTGGCTGGCGATGGCGTTTCTCTTCCCCTCGTCCCGTCCCCACAGTCCCCAGGTCCCCACCACATTGTGGCCCCAGCCCAGCAGGTTTCCCTGCAGATCCCCGGAGGGCTCAGAGATGATTGTCCACACTGCAACACTCCTGGGACGCTCACAGTATGCAAAGTCACTCTGTTTCCAAAGAAAACACCTTTTTTCCTCTTGGATTACTTTTTCCCTAGATATTCCCACTTCTCAATGACAACCTCTCCTATTTTCTTTCCCTCCTGTCATTCCTCCTCTTTCCATCCTCCTTCCCACAGCAGAAGAAAGGACAATAGAAATGAAATTGCACTTCACTAGGAATTTCCGGATTGTTTCTTGTCATCAACGGAAAAAAATAACACTCCTTCCCCTCTCTCCTCTGCAGCCCTCCTGCACCCCGCTCCATCACTCCTCCTAACGTCGCTTCTTCTGCCTTCTCCTTGCCTACTCCTGTCCATCCATCCCTGCTTCTCTCCAGCTTCCTGTACCCCACCTTCAGTGAAACCTCCCTTAACTTCTAAAAACCAATTGAAAAAAATTAAAAGGCAAGGAGAGAAAGTGTCAGAAGTGGAGAATTGTGTTAAGTAAATGTAGACCAGGTCCATGGGGGTGAAGTGCGCAGAGGCTGGTGGCGTGGAGGATGCTCTGGATGACAATGCTGAAGAGATAAGGACACACAGAGGTGACGATGGCTTTAGGTTTTCCCCATCGGGGTACAGCTGCTTGGCATGAACGAGGGGCTCCAGCTCCTGATACCTCATGGGTGAGCTGGAGCCAGGAGCAAATCCTTCGCTCTCCAGCTCTCATCCTTCCATTAGTATTTCTGCACTGATTTAAACTCGCTCTGCCTCGCTACTTATCTGTGTAATGGGACCAGCAGCCTTTTCACTTGCAGAGGCACTGGCTTAATTCAATCTAAGGATAAAGTTGGGACATCCCAGGAAGAAAGGACACACCAAAGGGGACAGCAACCTGCTCCTGTATTTTCCTTATTAATTTCTGAACTGTAAAGGAAAATAGCAATTACCCTGTTGCTCTCAATGAGCCCTAGCTCATGTCTTTTCAGCAGCAGGATGCCTTAAAAAAATCCCAAGGCTCAAGCTACTGTTTCAGAGGAAAGGTCTGGCCAACATCTAAACATTTTACCTTGAATTGTTTGTCATTTATCACCATGTTCAACCCAAAAGACATGGCAGTCAAGGCACGAAATCGCTGCATACGCAAAAACTGGTGTGAGCTACAGCAAAGAGCAGCAGCAAGGAGCAACACTGGTCCTGGAACCAAGACAGAACCTCCCTCTTGGCCACTGTGGCTTGATGGGCACATGGGCAGGAAGCATTAGCTATCTGAGTTTTTAAAAACCTGCTCTGCCACTGAGGTTTTACTGTGTTCTACAAGTGCAGGAGTGGCTCCCATGGCCACTAACTCGCGTTACGCGTGTGCCACGGGACACAAGAGGAGTCTCAATTTGGGCATTCCCCCCCGCCCCCAAAAGGAGAAATCTGATGTTGTGGGAAAAAGGCTTTGATGGGAGAGTAAGTCAGGATTTAATTTTGACCTAAAATTGCAGTCACTCCCTGATCTTCTACTGCTGGGACCCCTGAAGATGTATTACAGCTCCGAGGGTTTCCGCTCAGAACAAAACAGTTTCAAATTCACTATCGGCTGGGAAATTCAGGGTTCGCTGGATTTTTTTTCTTGTGGTAAGGGGCAAACAAATCTTAATCTCTCTACATTTAGCCCACTCCTTCTTATCTTCTCGGGCTCAGTCCTGATTTATTGTCACGCTGCTGCATTTGTAAAATAGTACCATGAAGTAAGAAAGAGAACATTTCCCAAGGACTACTCCAAAATAAATTATTTCAGACATACAGAAGCTGCTTAATAAATCCCACTATTCTTGTTTCTTTAGGTATTTTAGAAAGTGATTTATAAGTGCAATGCCACCTCTCAAAAATGAGACAATCAACACGGGATAAAATTATCGTGTTATGAAAATAGGGGTCAGGCAAAGGGGCTGTGCTTTAAATTAAACCAGGGGAAAATGTTTCATCTAGAATTGACTCTTTTTGTCTCAGAAATGAATGTTTTAATCACCTAAGAACCTAAAAGCTAACACAGAGGCCTAAGTAATATTTAATTCCATAGAAATACGCCTGCGTTCTACATTGATGGGCAGAACATGATATTTCTCTTGAACACACTAACAATGAAACTTGGAGACGCGTCGAGACTTTAGAAAGCCTGGGGATTTTCCTAGGCTAAGAGATAATATTCCATTTAAATATTTAAATATCACTACCTTTCAGACCATTATCTGTTCAAGCAATCAACACCAAACGTTCTCCAGCTAGCGCGGTGGCAGGCTCGCGGGCAAGCTATTTAAGTAAAATTAACGTCTTGTGATATTGATGCCGTTCAATGGCACCCACAGAAATCACTGATCTTAGAGAGACGCAATTTAGGGAGCTAACCCTAAAGCTGCTAAAGAGGAAACCATCATCCAACAGCACCAGCGTTCATTCAGTAGCACTACCAAAACCAAGTCACGACCCTTTCTCGGTGCTGCTGGTGTTGTAAGGTCTAATCAGGCTTGAAGTTCCTTCCCAGAGCTGCACTTTACTTCATTATCCCTGCCTTATTTATTCCTGCAGAAGAGTCATCTGAAACTTCGCCAGGTATCCCCTTGCCGCGGCACGAGCCAAGAAGCAACCTGAGTTTGAGGGATCTTGTTCCCCCCCCTTGCAACCAACAGGACAGGAGCACCCGCGCTCCTCCTGAGGATGCTGCTGGCACCACCCTGGCAGCAGGACGCTGGGGTGATAGTGGGGCTGGGGGGGCTTTGCTTGGTTCGGTGAGGATGTCACATACGTGGAGGAAATCAACCTCTCCCCCCGCAGTGGGGCTCATTAAGATACTGAACAGGTGACAGAAAATTGTCACTGGGAGCACGGTGACTGCAGCGTCTGCCAACACACCCCACCCTTGGTGGGGGGACCAGTTGCCACCAGCCAACCGCCAGCACAAACACCCTTCTGTGTTCAACTGACTCATAACCCCTAACATTCTATGATTCTATAACTCGAAACGCGGAGCAGCTGTAATAAAAGCGAGTAAGAGGGGAAAGTCACTGACCGTGGGTAGCTGGCTGGAGAGGAGATGCCCATCTTGACTCAACATGTTGGAGACCATGATGGCCGGCAGGTCCATGTTCTGGTAGGGATACGCTGGTATCAGGCTGTTTGGAGGGAGGCTGTGGCACAGGGAGTGATATCCAGCTTCGTGGTCCACCAGGTGCAGGAGGGAAGGGTCGGGGAGATTCGGGGGCGTTATGGGAGGGATCTCGTAGTCTTCGTTATTCTCATTCTGACTGTTATACGTCTGAAAAAGGGAAAGGACATTTGGCAACGCGTCACTGCCTTGTTGCTTCAGTAAAGGAAAGCAACTACTCGTGTAACAAATATAAAAGCACGTTCTGGTGAAAATGGTTTTAATAAAAAAAGACATCTGTAGTCCCGGACACCAGCAGGTTGTAATCTGGCAGGAGCCAGGCAGTGAACGTGGCATCGCTGCATTGTCCCGTCAGGGACACGACGGGTCCCCACACCCCTCGAACCTGCTGGGGCATCCCTGCTGCTCCCCTCTTCCATGCCGCATGCCCCTAGCACACCTGCAGCTTTTCAAGAGTTTTTATGAGCGTGAGCTCCACAGAAATAACTGGTACTTGGGAACGAAATTCCCATTGATTCCTTCACAAACTCTAGCACAGAAGCTACAACCAGGGGGATTGGGAAACACAGTCATCACTTTTAAAAAAAATCCTTTAAAGAAAGCCTGCATGACTCCGTCACACAGGGAGATTTGTCCTTCCTTACATCCTCATCCAAATTCCATTTGGACGAGCGTTCCCTTGCCTCCCCATCCGTGTTCCCTCGAGGTGGCCATGAGCACGCAGAGATGTTGGCACTCCTTGTATTTTCTGGTGGCTTGTTTACTTGCAAGCATTCCAATTTAAATGGAGAAAGAACATGGCATTGCACCTGTGCAATCGTTTTCACTTCAGACCAAAACATATTTGCTTCACAATGTAAGTGTGAATCTATCCAAAATTATTAATTATCTACACAGAATATAATGAATCTCTGGCAGAGGAGGCTTACTCTAAGCATCTACTGTTTCACATATTATTACAGCATATGAAATTCTGATTAGCCATAGTATTGTACACATGGATTTAAAGCTAAATTTCCCAGATCACCTAGTTTCATGGTTGGATTTTGACTTAATACTTGATTTAAGAGCGAAACCCCAGATGTGTGCAAAACCAGTTAAGCACTGTAGGCTTTATTAATCCATTGCCCCAGAGCTCACGCTTGCATTCATGCCCTTCATCGCCCCAGACTGCTGGGGGAAAACCCTTAAGAAAATAAAACAAAACCTGTATTTAACTGGAATATAGAAGTCAGTGGGGAGCACGGAGGGGTCTGTGAGTAGGTGGAGGAGTTCCCAGCAAGGAGAGAGCATCCCTGTGGGGTGTCAGAGCAGGGGGATGCTCCTGTCCCACCCAAAAAACTGGGACTGGCAGTGGCTCATCCTCCACCAAACTGAACCCCCACCTCTCGCCTCCCCTCGTCCCATTGCAAGACGAGACAGAGGGAAGAGCAGGCAGTGCGCATCCCACCCGACCCTTCGCATTTGCCCGAGATTCCCACCGGCTGCGGGGAAATCCGAGCGCACAAGAAATCCAAAACGGAGCCTGGGCAGAGGTAGCTCCGTGCCAACAGTTATTGTTCGGGGGAAATTCAAGCCCAGCTCTTTTTCCATCCAGCTTCTGTCTCGCAGTGGTATTATACGGGGCAGGCAGGGGGCTGAGAGGATGTACACAACAGCAGACAGATAGATCCCATTTAATATGTCTAGTAGTTGGGTTTCTGTTTGGGCTACGCTCTTCGAGGTACACCGATTCTCTCCCAGTTACTTAAGAGGATTTCACTCCGTGCTTTACGGAAAGCGATTTGAATAAATCAGCACACAGCAAACTTGTTCCTCCAACTGGTTTATTTTGGTATCAGGTATAAAAGCAAGTGGCTTTGCTGTACTTAACTAAATTATGTAAAACTCTCTTCAAAACTACAAGTTCCTGGTGCTGCTGAGAAGCAGCTCGTTGAAGGGCTTTGAGGTGGTAAGGAGCCCGAAAGCCCCGGCGCCCTGCTTTCACCCCCCTGCACGCTTCTGCCTCTGTTCTATTCAGGGAAAGAAAAAAATGAAAAGAAATAAAAAAAAAGAAAGAAGACCTGTTTAAAACACAAAGCTTTCCGAATAGCTACGGTATTGTGCAGACATATCAAAATGACAATCAAAGCTGTACACAAGTAAAATCAGATTAGACAATATCCAATCAACATCATCAGACTCGGCGCCTGCCAGCTTTTACACCCTATCGCTACGAGTAACTTTCCAAAGCAAGCCCTGTTCATTCTATATACGTTTTAAACACATCACTAGAAAGACAAGCAAGGGAGATGAGATAGATGCTGGGACAGGTGGGAAAGGGAGGTGATTTACTGTCACACATGGTGCCTGTTGTCATGCCCGAGGTGACGTCCCTGCCAAGGGTGCTCTCACACCGCGCGCGCAGAAGCCATCGTCTCCAACCTTTCGCCAGCAACACCCAACGCTCCCTTCCACCACCACGCGGGCTACGCCGCAGATTATATTTTCCATTCTTATGTTAATTTGAATTAAATTAAACAGCCAATTATACATTATAAGGATACATTACAAATTAGATTAGTGAGCTGGTCTGAACCCATTCATCTCACCAGGACTCCAAGCGCGTGTGCAGAGAAGTTCGCTCTGCTAAAAGGCTGCCCGTCATGGCACGCACACACAAAAAAAAGCACGGAAGATCTAGGATTTTCCACCGTCAAACAGATGACAGTTGTTGTGATTGCACATTATTCCCCTTCAAATTAAACCACTGAAATCAGCTGAAACAACACAGCTCTTCTTGCAAACCCCGCACGGCGGGGCAGACGGGAGCTGCAAATCCCTGCAGCCGGATGGAGCAACAGGATCGAGCCAAGCACCCTCAGAGAGGGGACAGTGCCTTTTCTCTGTCCCCAGCCCTTGCCTTCAGACCCCCTGTGCATCTCCGTGCCCCAGTTTTGGGGCTGTGCTGCAGGGCCAGGCACGGCCCCAACTGCCCCACGCTCGTACGGTGGTGCCACAGGACGGCATCGCAGCAGGCACAACTGACCTATGACGGCGGTGAAATCATGTTTCAAACCAATTTTTCCTTCTTGAAAGCCAAGTTAGAACAGGGCTGCCTGGACCATCTCTGTCCACCTGCAGATTCAGGGCCAGAGGACAGAGGAGAGGTGGTGTGAGCATCCACAGTGCTGTGCTGGGGTCACACAGCTCCCAAGCCACGTCCAGGACCAAGAGGAGCCAGAACAGGCAGCCACATCACGGGCTACTCCCTCCTCACTCCCAAGCACAGGGGATACATGATTCGCATTTGTCTGTGAGGAAATTCAGAGCAAAATTGCACAAGCAGGGGGTGACTGGCACCCCAAGGTCCCTTCACCAGAGCTGCAGCGGCACCGCTGGCACAACTGGTGCTCCCCAAAGCACCAGCAGGTCTTGGAGACACCCCAGCGTCATCTCCTGACCACACATCAAAATCTCTCAGGCTTCCCATACTCCCCAGATGCTTTTTTTGGAAGAAGGAGGCAGAGGTGGATAGGAGGCACCCAAACCCCCAGGGTCTGCAGGTGACCCCCACGAGGCGAGTGGGGAAGGACCCAACATTTTGTGCAGCAGAAGAAGGCTGAAAGGGAGGACAGGGAAGTAGCTGGGCAAGAACCCCTGGGGTCAGGGGGAGCAAGAGCAAAGGGTGAGCCAGTGCAGTACTGCAGGGTGGCACTGACCAGCCCGGGGGGAGCAGAGCTTTCTGAGGATGAAGAGCGAGGACATGAGTCCCTGCCTTTTGCATGTATGCTCAAGCAACATGGCTGTGCACACCCTGAGCAAAGAAAGCTGTGACAGTCGGCACCCATGTGGTCCTGAGGTGCACGCTTGTGGGTGCAGAAGAAGCAGGAGTTGAAGATAAAGAGTGTTCCATATGGACATGGAGCTGAATGAAGAGCATTGGTGGAGACCAAAAGCTTTACAGGGGAACGAGCTGGTCCCTCTCTCTGTCTCCAGCGTCCCAGGACCAACAATAAGACCTGATCTTCTTTTGTATGTCGGCATAAATACCTGAATTACCAGCTCATGAAATTGTGGACATCTCTGCGTGTCCTTAAGCTGCATATTAAAGTTACTGTGGGTCAAGGAAGGGAGCGAGAAGCTCTCACTTGGGGCTCATGGCAACAAGCAGGCTGGAAATCACACTGAGCATTTTCAGGGCAAATATCTACCATTGCTGTAAGGAAGTGCAAACACCTGGGGAGCATTCCCAGCAAACACAACGAAGATGGATCCATCCCCCCACCCAACACCCAGTCCAGCTGACCCGAGACTAAAGGATTGGTTTTAATGCAGGGCACCTCTTGAGGGACCAGCTGTGATTCAGCCAAAGCCATAACCACAGCCACGTTTCAAAAGACACTTCGAACTCGCCACGCAGGTGACTCAGGAGGGAGCTACAAGTGTTGAGCACATCTGCAAATTAAGCCTTTCGCTTTCTCCTGCTTTTCCTCTCTTGCAAGGGGAGGAAAGTGCTGTCCTTTACAAAACACTCCACAGCCAGACAGCAGCCTCTCTGCACTGCGCGGTGGTGTTAACCATAGAGGATGTGACTTGACCTGGGAAACCGTTCTCGGCAGCGGGGCAAACGTCCAGCGACCCCAATTCTCCTCTGAGTCATGTTTGGTGTGATTATCTGCGATGATCCAGGAGTTGCAGCCAAGCATTGATTCAGAGAAATACTACTCACAGTGAGAAGGATAGATGTTTGCAGTATTATTGCAGGTAAATATTTGCCCTGTCAAATAACATTCAACAGTAAATATGAGCCTAAGAGAGAACATTTATTCTCGGCAAGGCACAAGGAAATACGTAGGCTGGCGTGATCCATCCCACCCTAATCATCCAGATGACACAAACCACCGTGGACTCTGCACCATCCCTCATCTACTAACAAGGTTTTTCCTGCAGCTAACACAAAACCTGCTTTAGCAATGTGACCCTCTAGACACTTCAGACATTAGATGGGGCTAAGCAGCCCCAAACCAGCCCAGCCAGTGTGCAAAGTGGGGAAACTACCCCTATTTGTGAGGCTGAGAGGTACGACCAAGGGCTACACCTTGAGCTCCTGGTGAGCATAAAGAGCAGAGAGGACACAGGGGTTATGGGGTGCCCATAAGCGCATTGCT